TGCTAATCATACCCTTCATACGGGCTTTATAGAGGCCCAAAATGATAGTTGTGGCGTTTTATCGTTCGTTCTGTCTTGAGGGGATGATCATTTGTTTTTAGTTATGGTCGTGTTTAAAATGGGACCAATATCACGAATACCCTGCTGATTCGTTTTTAATGCCAATAGCTTATAGGGTAGAACCACTGGGCCACTTGTAGTTTGTCCGAAGCTTTGGGAAATACCAGGTACTTCTCATTGCTTTCATTTAGCGGAACCGCATTTGTACAGTATTCTGTGGATGCCAAGGCGTGTCAGGAGGCTGAGTTCGGCGTTGCTCCAGCCCTTTCTCCTCCAGTTGCTGAGGAGGGTAAGCGACAGCAGTCGAATTGAAATATGCTGTCGTCACGCCAAACCCAGCCCCTGACACGCCCCAACATCCGCAGCGAACAAGACCATAGGATCTTTCGGTTCTCCGCTGTCGCAATGCATGAACGCTGCCTTTTATTTACAGAGTACTTTTCAACACCCAGGTATTTCTCTTCCCATTAGTTTTTACTTTCACTCGCTTATTTCCATTTTGAGAGAACACTTACAATCAGCTTATTCTTATGTGGATTGTTTTCTTTGCTGTCCTAGATACGTCTCACGGTTACTTTACTTTCGTCCTTTGGTTATATTTGCGCGCTCATATTGAATAATTGAGATTATTTTATAATTTCAACTGGGATATGTTTCAGGGATGCTAATCAAGGTGAAAACGCTCACGGGAAAAGAAATCGAATTGGATATTGAACCAAACGATAAGGTTGAACGAATCAAGGAAAAGGTCTGTTCATCATTTAACTGTTGTATATTTAATCCACTCGATGTGTTTCCTTCTACTCAGTTATGACGGCGGCTCTGTATAGGCTTCAAATAGTCTGATTCAGGTAGAAGAGAAGGAAGGGATCCCACCTCCACAACAACGATTAATCTTCGCCGGAAAGCAAATGAATGATGACAAAACTGCTACGGATTATAAGGTAGCGATTGTTTTCAATTCAGAGCCTTGTAAGACCTTGCCTAAATAGTTCACAGAACTCGAAACCAGTAGGCGCCGTGTCACATACAGTTCGTTTGCATGGTAGAGATCATCCCCTTCTTCTTCTTGTAGTCTTGCAGATACTAATTTTAGGTTTGTGAATGTGTATTCGTGAAAGTTCGCGCAGTGTAAGCTAGAAACGTCGAGCCCATAATGCCTGAGCAGGGCGTGGCCACCGATATATTG